CAAAGTGTTTGCAAACAGGTCAGAGAGGAAAGCGTTAGGTAACAATTCCCAGCGGAGACAGCGCACAGTAAGACTAAATGAAGTTTCTGCAAGCTCCAGAACACGGGTTGACAATCCCAGAGTGCTCACCTTTGTGGAGTCTAAGCACACGGAAATGGATGTAGCTCTCCTTTCTCTGACTCCAGTGTCCTCGAGCCTCCAGAGATCCTGCCAGGAAACACATCTTTGGAATCCCGTTTTCTGACTTCCTTTGTTTTAAGTTACAAGAGACCCTAAATCTCAAACATAATTTAAGGAGTACACGTATTAAGTCTTAAAACAAGGACAAGACAAAGGGAGTTATGGTGGCATCTAAGGAGTCATAACCACACAGCCACTTCACTAGGACATGGGGATACAGAGCCTGTCACCAAGTCATGACCGCTGGCAGGCCAATGCACCACAGTGGCGGTTGGGAATACAGACGTGGGAATGCAATCATGATTGGGACGTGTACGTGACATTACCTGATTGGTCCAGGGCCTTTGACCTAGGCAGTCAGGGTCTGATTCAGGATGTGACCCCTGACTTCAAGGGGTCTCCTGCAAGGACACACCCAGGCAAGCCCTCAGGCCTCTCAGGGAGCCTGCCTTTTCCTGGGCTGATCAGAGGGACTGGAGGTGACCCACTTTCCAATGGACTCTGCCCCAGGGTAAGGCTGCCTACATCCCTGCTTAATGGTCAGACACAATTCAGTAGAGGCTTGAAAGACACCTGGGACTCTGCAAATGGATTTTGGGCTTTCACTGTCATCCATAGGCTTCTGCAAACAGGGTGCTGACAATGTGCTACACTTCTTGAGGTTCCGATTTGGAATTGAGTCAAGGTGCGTAGAACTTGGCAAGGGACTGGGAAGGCATAAAGACAGGTTTGATGAAGGCTTTTTTAGCCTGGAGAAGTGACGGTTGAAGGACGCTCGGGAAGGCATTTAATCGTTTGAATTTGAAGGCCTGTTGGAGCACTGTGTCAAACAGATGGTTTCACTCAAGACTAACTATACGTGGACTTCCCTTAAAGGCAGAAAGGATTTAAGTTATCCTTTATACAAGAGCTCAGCTGAAAATGCGCAACCTTGGGAACATTTCAATAAGACATGCTGACTGTTTACTTTTGAGTAGTTGAAGGAAAACACAGAAGTATGTTTTAGTAGGATGGCTTAGGTCTAACCGGGATGATTCGCTTTGCTCTAACTTTGTTAGACTGTAGGCCCAGGACATACCATCTTCCTTTCCTCCCATCCTAACTGACTATTGATGGAACCACGTTTTTTGGCGTGATAGCGTAGTATTAGAAATATACTTGAGGGATATTGAAGTAGAGCCAGGTCTTCAATTTCTGACTTTCATCAGGAGATCTTGAGGCTTGGAGGGTTCAAGAGCATGCGTGTTGGTGCCCCAGAGACCCCGTTTCCAGTCTGACCTCCGTTCCCTGGTTCTTGGTTGAATTACTGAATCGCTTGGCCACCTCAACATGAAAGCACAATCAGAGTAGTACTGAGAGGTTGATGCAAGGCCCAGTCCCGGTGCCTGGTGCACAAGACGTGCTCGGTAAACGTTAGTCATTATTAATGCCTTATTCGAGATTTTGAAGCAGTTCTGGGAACTCGGCAGCAGCCGCATAATGACCCTTTTTTAACCTACTGTGTGACCTCTGCCCTTCTTCCTTCCTTACAGCTCCTGGCATTCCTGCAAGGACTCTTCACTTTCTATCACCATGGTTATGAACTGGCCAAGGATTTCAGCGACTTCAAGACCCAGCTGACCATTAGTATCCAGAATGTGAGTGGGCAGAGGGCCAGGCTCCCCTTTACTGGTTAAGGAAAGGGAACACACACACACACACACACACACACACACACACAAGGGTCCGGTTGCCATAGAGACCATTTAACTCGCTGGGAGTGCAAGTGAGGGGTGTGTGTGTGTGTGTGTGTGTGTGTGTGTGTGATCTCCCTTGAGTTCCACGAACAGCTAGGAGACAGGCATTTCCAGGGTGTTTGAAGAGCCCTGGTGGCATAGTGATTATACATCAGACCGCTAATCGCAAGGTCAGTAGTTCAAAACCACCAGTTGCTCCATGGTAGAGCGATGGGGCTTTCTACTCCTGTAAAGAGTATAACCTCAGAAACCCCACAGGAGCGGGCCTACCTGGTCCTGTAGAGTTGCTGTGAGTTGAAGTCAGCTCAATGGCAGTAAGTCTGGAGGCTCCAGATCACACGGTCATTCCTCTTCTCCCGTGATTTCAAAGCACGGTTTATGTTCTTGGAAGGGCTGTTGCTGATTCTGTTTGAAATCTCTAGCCCCAGAGCCCGGGTTTCCTTTGGCATCAGAGACTCTAGCCCAGCCCAGCCCAGCCCAGCCGCCCTTTGTGCGTGTAGCCCCTGCTCCAGTGTCTTCCTTGGCGTGTGTGCTCTGGGGGCAGGTGTTGCACACACTTTGGCCTCTGGCTCAAAGGAGGTGCTCTTGTTTGACTCTTAGCGAAGCTGACAGGCGAGCCTAGTGTGTGGGCGAGTCCCCTTCTCAGTCCCAGTTTTCTGACAGCTGACCTGTAGGTGCACACAATCCTCCTGGTGGCTCTTTGGTTTGCGGCTTCTGGGACTTGAGCCTGCTTCTCGGTGTATGATTGTGTTGTCTTCATTTTTTTTTTATAGCTTGTCTCTATGATCACGTGTAGAAAAAGCCTCAAATACGACGGGGGCGGGGGGCTTCAAGAATTTCGTGGGAAAATTCCATTTTCTTTTCATCTTTTTCCCCATGATCATTGTAGTCAAGAATGTTCTCTTGACACTGTGTCGTCCTGGAGGATGGGAAGTGAGAGAGTTTGGGATCAAGTTCCGCAGAGGACAGCCTCACCTTAGCCTGGGCTCCTCAGAAGGGCACTCGGACATGGAGAGGTGGTTGAAGGAGGTTTCCCGGGCAGAGCGTGCTGACATCACCTGTGGGAGAGTGGGGAAGCAGGGGAAACTGAATTGGGATGCAGCTGCTACAGCAGCGGTTCTCAACCTGTGGGTTGAGACCCCTTGGCTGGGGGGGTGTGTGTGTGTGTGTGTCAGACGACCCTTTCACAGGGGTTGCCTGATGCATAACGGTAGCAAAATGACAGTGATGAAGTAGCAACGAACATAACTTTATGTTTGGGGGGGGGCTCACCCCAACATGAACTGTATGACAGGTTGAGAACCACTGTGCTACAGAATCCTCAGCCATGTCCATGGGAGCTCTGGAGCTGGGCCATCCCTTCAAAGTTGTCCTAAATTAAAGCAAGGGGAGCCGCTTCTTGCCTTTCCATCTTTGTCCCTTGCTGGCCATTGACTTCGGGCTGCCTTGGGGAAAGAAGTAACCTTGAAAGGAGCAGCTCCCATTTGAAGGCCCCTCCTAGGGAGACACTCCCTTGTGTAATCGTTTGTGCCTTTAGCAAGCACCATTCCCGGCAGCCTGAGAAGTGGGGGTCTGGGCGGGAGCAACACAGCATCTACCCTAGGCCCCAAGGCCCCTGGGAAGCCCAGTTCCCTGGGATGCTTGTGTAAGCTCAGGCTTCTGGAATTGGAGGGGCTTGAGGGGCAAGGCCGGGTATTTGCAGTTTCACAAGTTCCCTCGGTGACATTAATGGTTACGAAAAGTCACTCTGGCCAAAGTGTGCTTCTGAGTGGCTGGTTGCCTCTTCCTTAGATGACTGGTCTCAGATCTAGAGGTTCTATTAAATGAATATCCTGACTCGTTAGAGATGGGAACCAAGATTGCCTTTCTCTGATTCGGCTAAATTTTCTTTCCTCCTAGACAAGAAATCGCTTTGAAGGTACCAGGTCAGAAGTGGAATCGCTGATGGAAAAGATGAAGGAGAATCCCCTTGATCATAAGACGATCAGTCCCTATACCATGGAGGGGTACCTCTACGTCCAGGAGAAACGTACGTGCTTTTGACTCCCGCCCGCTTGGGTCCTGCCTTTTGTTCCAAAGGGGAGCAGCTCCCTCTTGAAGGGCCTGCTTGGGAGGCTCCTCCCACCCGCTGTGGACTCATCTGTTCCAACAGCAAGTGCCATTCCCCGAGCTGCAGAAGTAGGGGTTTGGGCAGCACCCTGCAGCCTCCATGCCAGGTCCCATGGGCCTGGGTGTGTTGCAAAACGTCCGTCGCTGTTGAGTCAGTCTCACCCCATGGCGATATCGCGGGTGTCAGGGTAGCGCGTGCTCCATCTGATGTTCATTGACATTCCTTTTTCAGGGGCCCTGGCAGCAAAGGGGTTGTGCACCCGACTGCTAACCACAAATGTAGTGCAAAACCGCCATCCGCTCTGCCGGAGAAAGCGGCTCCCTATTCCCATAAAGCGTGGCGGCCTCAGAAACCCCCTGTCCTGTAAGGTCTCTGCGCCAGCCTTGACTTGCTGGCAGTGAGTTTGCTTTTTGAACTTGCTCTTTCAGACGTAGATCACCAGGCCTTTCCTGTGAAGACCATCGGGGGGCCTGAAGCGCCCAACTTGTGGTTAGCACCTGAGTGCGTGAAGGCCTTGCTGCTTCACCTTGTCCCTCAGCCTGGGCTGAGCTGAATGAGAGCCATTTTGTAGTGAACATTCCACAGGGGACGATGGTGTCCCCAAGGGTCCTGTCTACGTCTAGTTGATGTTGTCTGCTTTCTCTGTAACGGGGAATTCTTTGAGGATTGACCGAGGCCTTTGTAGGCTGATAATACCATCTTCTTTAAAGAGTATTTTGTTGCTCAAGTAAGTGATTGAAATATGGAATGATATATGTACTAAATCCCAACCCAAAAAAGGCAGTTGAACAAGCACCTGGTCAGAGACTTGAAAAATGACAGCAGCAAACGTCTGCGCTGTCGGGCTTTCCTGAAAGGGTACTCTTGAGGGTGGTTCTTTTAGATTACACTCGGATATGAGGGTGTGTCGAAAAGTTCATGGGAAAATGGCCTTAAGCGACAATGGGATTTTTCCATAAGCCTTTTCGAAGCACTCCCACCCCACCCCTGCAGTCCTTTCCATTCTGCATCTCTGTGCCATGGCTGTATTCCAGATCTTATTTAGTCCTGCTGAAGTGTAATTTGGGGCGTGGAAAGAGGTCGGAATTGCGGTGTGTCTGTGGGCAGAGCTGCAGGGAGCAGCTGTGTGGGAAGCAGGAAGTCCCCATCCCAGATGCGACTGGGGAAAGGCACTCAGACTCGCCTGCCTCCCTGCGCTCTCTGCTAAGTCATCTCACTCCTGTGGGGAAGAGCGGAAACCTGTGACGGGGTTGGTGCTGGCAATGTGAATTCGTGTCCCCAGGGAGCCTTGACTTCCCTTATGTTTTCGGGCCTGTTGGCTGCAGCACTAGTGGGAAACAGTCTGCCCTGGGCCCTGGGGAAGAGCCCTGGGCGGTTCCGTTTCCAGCCTGGGGGTCAGCTTTCCGCCTGCCTCAGGCTAGCTGTTGAGGAGCGTGCATTGTGCCAAGGAGCAGATTACAGAGCGGCGAGCGTTGTGGGGTATGGCTGCATGTTTGTCCAGTGAATGGCGTGCAGTGGACATGCACAGATATTTTATGGGACATATTTCCTTGCAGGTCACTTTGGAACTTCTTGGGTGAAGCACTACTGCACGTACCAGCGGGATTCCAAACAGATCACCATGGTGCCATTTGACCAAAAGTCAGGAGGGAAGGGGGTGAGTACATTGAATGCAATGTCATGCTCACTCTGTTTGGCTAACACAGACCAATCTAAAACATGTAGGAAGGAACACCTCTGGTTTTCAGTGTAATCAAGAAACAGATTTTTCCTGCTGTATTTCCAAGGGGCCTCTATCCCTAAAGAATAATAAAACAAAACCAGATGATTATTGTCTGCTAAGTTAGAGTGGGAACTGCGAGTAAGCAAGATTGCCGTATTTCCTGTGTGTACACTCTAAGGCAGGGCTCCTCAAACTTTTTAAACAGGAGGCCAGTTCACTGTCCCTCAGACCGTTGGAGGGCCGGACTATAGTTTACAAAGAAACTATGAACAAATTCCTTGGCACACTGGACGAGTCGGCTGCTAAGCAGGACAGGCCGCGGCGGCAAAAACACCCGCGGGCTGCATGTGGCCCGCAGGCTGTAGTTTGAGGACCCCTGCTCGAGGTATGCCGAATGTGCTAGAGGCCAAGAATTCTCAGAGGACCTCATCCTGTGAAACCGACTCCTTGGCCCTTTCTCTTGCCTGGAGAGCCACCCTTTGATGGTGTAGATGTTCCAGATGTCTGCTGCTGTGTAACAAATCCCCCTAAACCCAGTGACTTAAAAACAATATCGATCATCTTATTATTCTCACAGCTCCTGTGGATCAGGAATTTAGCAGGCATTTTGATGGGTGGGTCAGTCTTGGCATCTTATGCAATCCCAGCGGCTAGAGTTGGAATAATGACAGTTTGAAACACTGGAAGGCTATCCAGGGATAGCTCTCTTTACCTCTCTCCTCTTCCTCCTCTTCCTACCCCCCCCCCTCCCCACTGTGCATGGGCCATTTTGGGCTTCCTCACAATATGGCAGCCTGCCGCCTGCCGAAGGGGTCAAGAGTGAGGATCACCGAGTAAGGCAGAGCTGGATTTTCTTTAAATGACTTAGTCTCAGAAGCCATGTAGCATTGCTGTGCCCTACCTCTTGATTGGGTCAGTCATGAAAGTTCACTTGTATCAATAATGAGGATGTAGGCCCTGCCGCAGAGTAGGAGGAAGATCAAAATCTCATTGGATGAAGAGCACGTGGGATGGAAGATATTGTTGTGGCCATGCTGGCAATAGACAGTTGGCAGCATCCAGTGTTCTGATATCTTTGCTGTTGGGGACTTCCTTGTGTGCTCCGTGGCTTCTTCATGTCCACACAGCTGTTGTCACGCAAACATGACAACTGTGAGGACGATGCAGGATCGGACGATGCAGCACAGGTTTTGTGCTGTTCTAGGATGGGTCACTATGAGTCAGGACTGATTGTACAGTCCCTGACAACAATATGTTTTTAATATTTCCCCCCCAGCATTATTTGTCTGCTGAGGTCTGCGGATCATTGAGATTCCACATCAGCAAGTTCTCAGTTTTATGGGAGGGAAGGAAGGAAACATACTTCATGGTACTGGTTCTTTTCATGTGTGTCCCTACACCCCCACATCTGTGGTTAATCCTAGGAAGCCATTGTGGAGTAATGAGCTGGTCGTTCAAACTCACCAGCTGCTCTTTGGGAGCAAGAAGTGGCTGTCTACTCCTGTACAGCCCGACGGCCTCAGAAACCCCACGGAGCACTTCCGCTCTGCCACAGAAGGCTCTGAATCCGAATGGACGTGAGGACAGTGGGTCTTGGTCTTGGGATGGTATTCTCTACGAGCCTTCCAACCTCGGCCCTCGTGGTGCATCTACTGCCCCATGTTTGGTTTGTGTGTGGGCATTGTAATGTCATGGTTAAGAGCATTAACTCTGAAATCGACCGCCCGGCCCGCTCATGCTGGGTGCTGTTGTCGTTGCTAATAGCCACTCAGCCATGCTGTCTGTCTCGCTCGCTGTCACTTCCAGGTATTCTTCCCGGGTTTCTTGTACTTAGCCCACGATTGCGAAGGAATATCGCTGCCAATAAGAAATGAATAAATAAAAGCCCTTTTAATGTTTCTTGGCAAGGTTGGGTTGACTGCCAATTAATCTCCGGAAAACAGACAAGTTCCGCAAATATCAGAGCATAGAGGAATTACAGCAGGAATATTAAAAGGCTGTATTAATAGGTGCTCCCTGGTTTTCATGAACTGGAAGTAGAGTGTGCCTTCCTTGACGTTAGTTACACTCCTTCCTCACGCCTACTCCTGCTGGAAATCAGCTTCATGCCATCATTCTCCCCTGCTCTTGTCTTGGGGCTCCTTCCCACGTGCTGTCACAGGCCGCTGAGCTTCTCTCTTCCTTCCTGGGCAGACTGGAACGTGAAGCGCAGAGGCTGATCATGATAGCTGCTTGGACCCCCAAGGCTTTGCGATTTAAATTTGGCTAAGAGTTTACGTGAACTTCTGACCGAAACTGACCTGCCTCGAGTGCTAGCTAAGGAGGCCTGATAGTGCTGTGGGAAAGCTTAGACTTACTGACCCCAGGAGCAGGCGTTCAAGTCCCTCAGTTGCTCCTTGGGAGAGCATTGAGGCTGTCTCTTCCTGTAAAGAGTTACAGTCTCAGAACCCTCATATGGGTTACTCTGAACTGGAATCCATCTGATGGCAGTGAGTTTGGTGTATCATGAGTATAAGGAGCAGGCTGGTGGTGCAGGTGAAGCACTAAGCTACTAACCAAATGGTCAGCGGTTCAAAACCACCAGCTGCTCAATGGGAGAAAGATGTGTCAACCTAACGTATGAAGATTTATAGCCTTAGAAACCTTATGGGGAAATTGGACTCAATGTCGGGGGCTTACAATTGTTTTTAACTATGATTTTTAATTTTCCTTATAACAATTCCTTTTGTTTCAATATTCCTTTCTGAGTTCGTTCCCTATATTGTCTTGTTTGATCTTTATCACAGTGCAGGGAGGCCTAGCCAAATGCCCCTTCTGTAAAGGAGGAAACAGGTTCGTGGACATGAGCTGTGAGCTCTGAGACCACAGCGCTCACGGTTACAAGCTTGTGCTCGAACCCAGGCCTGCTGATTTGGAGACCCGGTGCTTTCTGTGACGGCACCCTGTTCATTCCGCTGTGCAGTGCAAGAGGTGTGAGGACTGGCTGGCCTGCCCAGGGAGCTGGGGGCACCCTCCTGCATGTCGGTGCAAAGCTCGCCTGGGGGCTAGAGGTCGTAGTGACTTGGATAAGGGAGTGCTTTCTTAGTGCAGCATGCCTTCTGTCCACCTTTGCTCTCGCCTCTCTCCATTATCTGGATTATTTTCCTTTGTAAGTAGCTTCAGGTCAGGAGTGATTTGCACTGACTTTTGGAGACCAGGCCCTGTGTGTGGCTCCATGTGTCTTCTCATACATACATCCAACCCTTCACTCTTAAGACTCTCAAATTGACAACAGATTATGTAACTACCACACATCCCAAGGGAATATGTTCCCGTTTGTTCTGTTGCTGCATTGCAGACTTCAAAGACAGAAGGGATGACTTGAAGGACTGGGATGCTTCCCCACTGCTAGCACCTGTAGCAGCTGTTTACCGGCATCGTTAACTTACTGCCCCATTGATAATCTCCGCTTTTTGTGAAACATTTACTTAACTGTGGTGTGTTTCATTTTGCAAGTACACAATTCGCTTGTCACTGTGCAGCTGTGCTCTTACACCATCAGAGTCATGCCATTAATGACCCAAATAAGGATAATAAAATGAGCTGCTCCTCTGGTTAGTAGTATAGCAGTACTGTGGTTTTAATCTTTCTATGATGCAATTTTCTCATCGGTGAAATGAGACTATTAAGAAGATCCTAGTAGGTTTGTTGAGGATTTCCTGGATTCACATATGTGAGACATAGAGGACCATAAATTATGACAAGTCTACACAGCCAAAATATTACCGGTGATATACCCTACCTGAACGTAGAGACCATCTCAGAACAGATTTGACACAGTGATCCACGACGAGTGATCGAAGACCAGACACCACGATTGGTGTTTCTCATTTTGAGACTGTGGGACTGCCTGCCTGCCTTTCTCTTCCCCACAGTGCTTGTCCTGAGTGAGAAGGGGAAGGTTTATCTTGAGTTTGGGTAGATCGGGTTGTTTGAAGGAGAAATAAGCCACTTGCCCATTATGGGCAGGAGCCCTGGGGTGTAATTGGTGACAGCTGGGCTGATAACCACAGGAGCAGCAGTTTGAACCCACCGCCACCCCGAAAGACGAGGCCTGCTCCACCGTGAACATGTGCAGTCTCAGAATCTCCCTGGGGCAGTTCCGCCCTGGCCGTGGGTGACTATGAGTCAGGCTCGGGTTCGTGGCAATGAATTTGCATGTGGAGTCCATAACCGTGGCCCTTCCCTTACTGCAATTCCAGATACATTGCAGCCGTGGGTCTCCACCTTCCTCATGCCACAACCCTTTCACACAGTGCCTCATGCTGTGGTGACCCCCAGCCATAAAATTATTTTAGTTGCTACTTCATCACTGTCATTGTGCTACTGTGATGAATCGGGTGACCCTGTGAAAGGGCCATTCGACCCCTGAGGGGTCGTGACCCACAGGTTGAGAACTGCTGCATTACAGGGTTAGAGACAGTCATGGCATGACTTGTGGGCTCCAGAAACGCGAGGTGTTCGCTTTGCATGTAAAACAAGCACGTATGAGGGGACTTCAAAACGTTGGTGGGAAAATGGAACGAAAGATAACAGAGTTTTCCCATGAACCTTTTGAAAGCCCCTCTCCCACTGATGCTCCTGGGAGTGCACAGAGGTTGAGCGAATGGTTCCCAGTTGAGATTCTTTTCTTTCTGCCGTATCTATCCTTTCTCTTCTGCCTCCCCTTATATGGAGCAATGTCTGAACATTGTCCCTGTTTATTCATATTACTTAAAAATAGTCAACAGTAAAAACCTGTGCCTAAAACCAAAACACTTTGTGCAGTGTATATCCAAAGCCTTAACATGCACTTTGCTTTAATAAGTTCATGTCTGGGAAGATACACAAGGGTAGTCAGATAGGAATGCCGAGTTGTACACAGGATGTCCATCTGGGCATCCTTCACAATGAAA